CCATTGATTAATTTACTTTTTCCACTTTCAACATTGTCAAATCTATTTCGGATTTCAACAGAACGTCCCAGCAACTTTCCATTGCTTAGATAATGCCAAAGACTTGTGACCAAATGACTAGTTTTGATTTATACCCGATCCGAATTTCCACCAAACATTACCCCACCAGCTACTACAATTACTCTTTAATGCTTTAAGAAAGATTTGGATCAATTTGATAGACGGACTCCAAATTGTCGTCCATTATGCTGACAGAAATTAAGCGACAGTTCAAGGCACTTTATAAAGGATTTAAATCTCAAAACGTATATGACCAAACTTAATATTTTAAATTGTGTGCAAATTGATGCTCTGTTTTTCATTTGAAATGTCATAAACACACGTCATTTTAGACAATGCTTCCGTAACTACTTATTTTCCTCGTCTCCTTAATATTCCGCTTTCATTTTGCAAATTCAATTCTCAACGCCATCGGTTGAATTGCAGCTGAATTAATATTATTGGCTGCAGTCAGTTTTTACGAACCTTTACATTTAATGGGAATTCTTCAAATGTCATCAGCATATATCGGTCGCCACGAGCACTTGCGTCACGAACTCTTTGCTGCAATGTAATCTTTCTCAATTACTTTCATCATACGAAATAAGACGGGCTATAAATTGACGTGAAAAATGTCCATCTTTTAGAAGCTCATACAGCGAAAATTTGCGTGCAAAATGCTTCACAGCTCGACAGACTGCAAAACAATATGTTTATTACTGCAAAATCACTTATTTTTCGCTCACAAACATGAAAAAGTTTATTTCTCGAAGTTTACGTTCATTATCAAATGGCTCCCACTGCTAATATTTATCTAGAGAAGGATGAGAGGGGTTGAAGAAGGATTAAGGAATGCGAACTATTATTCATTACCTTCAGGACCATCTCCACAACTGATCTCGCAACATCCAGCACAGACGTGCCCTGGTAAGTTTTTTGCGCCATTGACGCACTGGAATCAATAAGGAAAACGACGATTGTCATTTCGCGCTATTCGCATCTCCTCGAGAACGAGATCGAGAGTACGACAACTTTAAGCACGCGCTGATTCCTCTTCCTCTTAATTATTCCTGGTTACTATTAACTGACATCGACTACTACTTTATTTACAAATCCATCTACTTTCATCATATCTACTACTTTACTTCCTGCAGAAGCTAAAAAACCAAACTAGACGCTAATCAATATCGTATACATGACACTTATTCAGGAAGTCAATTTATTCCACCTTCAATTGATTTCTTCGCCTCGTAATCAATTATTTATTCTATTTCTCATACCCTTTCCTCTTCAGTTAAACATGTAAACAGGGATCAAAAAAAAGAAAAATAAGCGAGTTGAACCCCCTCCATAGGCTTACATTACAAAACCCCAAAGCCTTAACCAACAACACCAATCAATTAACACCACCCGCCACAACCGCACAACGTATACCGCACAAAATCGATAGACGCCAGACGCCTCAGATGAACGTTAGTGGCGAAAACTCACGGGAGACTCCCTTCTACCCACCTCCCCCCACCACAACTGGCCAGAAAGTTCCTACCAGCTCGTTTTATACTCATACAAATACTCTCTACCTCTCATTTTCTTAACCCTTCCCAATATGTTTTAGTTCAACTCTGATTCTCTGCCACGCCCCTTTCTTAAAAAGAATACAGAAAAAATGAGTGCCAGTGAAAAAAACAGAATTAGAAGAGACAGAAAACTGCATGAAAAACTTTATAAAAAGAGAAAAAGAAAGTTTGCGAAAATTGGAAATGGGATGCTTCAAGCATTCACTAAAGCTTACTTTGACGCTATCTCTCTGCAACTTATTGAATTTATGTAGAAAATCAATTCTAAAAAATAATAATGAATAAAAAACAGGTGTGAAAAAACATGAAAAATAACTGATGAAAAGTTCGTAATTCATTTTTAGCTATTTAAACTTAAACCGGTTATAAACAATTCAAGCTTGCTGACTGTATGTAAACTACAGCTTTGGTATTTTATTACATTTACTTATTGCTTTGTTGAGATGAGTAAAACTTTGTCATATAACTTCAGAAGTAGTAAATTATTTATCCCAAAATATTCGTCAGTCTAAGCAATATGTTAAGTGCGTGCTAGGTTTACTTTTATTAGATTATTAAATGAATTGATCTAGCGCTAATGAGAAATTCATATGCACCTAGAAAAACTCTAATAATCATTATAGATTTGCAACTTGCATTTTTTTCAAAGTTCTTATTGCTGATTTATCCATTCTCTTCAAAATTACCTTCAATAAAAGTGTAAACTAATATTCAGCTGAAAAGTATCATTTCTATCACATCCAAAGAAGCCTTTATAGAAATAAACACAGAAGAGTCATTTTCAAAGTGAAAGGAATTAGTTTTTTCTTGAAAAAAGGACAGAAAATTTATTAGAAAATATTTTCTATTCAGTTGCGATAAAGAAATTTTTCCAAGTGCTATTTGTGACAGGACTATATTGAATGTGATAAAATCATTTTTTTATTGAAGAAAGAAAATATGATGAAAAGATTATTACTGAGCGTACAATTTGTGTAATAATTTTCAAATTTTCTGTTCAGGAATATTTTAGAAATATTTTCAATTATTTTGGCATTTTTATTTTTGAAATTAATTGAAGCAAGTTCTTAAATACTTCAGGTGATGTTCTTTGTTTCTTTTACAACGCCTTCGTGAGAAACTACTGCTGACGTTATTTTGGGTAAATTTTACTTTATTAAATATTTGTATACAAGTGTTTAAACTACATCATTAGTGATTTATGTTTGTAGATAATTAATGCTTTCTTTTTTCGCTTTAATTTCTTATTTTTTAGTAATGTAGAAAGAATTTGCAATGGTTAGGTGACGAAGTTACATTGACAATTTTTCTTTTTGCAGTTTCCATTTTAATTTTTATGCTTTCTTGAAAAACACTGACTTGCCTTTTGAATGAGAGTATAAAAGATCTTTTACTGGTTATAAATATATATTTACTGTATGATTGTTTATATAACTTGAAATAGATGATGAAAACTCTATTGTTTTTTATGATTCTGTTGTACATAATGTATTATTATTATATCTCTAGGTTCGTTAAATAATTTCAAGAATTATTTTTTTTAAATTTAGGAAAGACCATTGTTTCAGTTAATCTGCATTATTATCAAGTAGAAGCAATCAAAATTTGTTAATAAATAAACTAAAATCTGCTTATTTCTTTTGATAATTATTAAGTGGACTTCATATTACTCACATTTTTCGTTTAGCGAAAATAAAGTGATAAAAGAAGATGGATGATGAGGAATATATGAAACCAATGTTACCAACTGTACCTGAGAAGTGTGGCCCTCCAGTAATTCCACTAGGGCACCTAATTGAATTTGCCGTTCAGCAAATCTTTCATGAACTAACTGTACTTTCTGAATTGTGAGTTCAGTCATATTTCATCGACAAAAGCATTTGGTAATCAAAATTGGTAACTGAACATGATAAAACTGAAGAACTGTGGTAGTTATGTTTTCTAATGTTAGTCGCATTTTCGATTATTCTAAAAACAGTGGATTGCAACATAGAACATACGCATTTAAATGAAACTATTTAAAAATAAAATTTATAAATCGATATTATACTTAAAATATGGTTTTCAGATTGCCAAAAAAACTAGATTCGGAAAGAAAAATAAGTATTGTACAATTTGCACATTCAACTCGCGTGCTGTTCATCAAGCTTCTTGCAGTAGTGAAATGGGTAAAATCGTCGAAGAAATTTGAATCGTGTGCTGTAAGTATTCTTTTGCTTTTTATGATTCTTGCTTTAACTGACTGTTTTATGCTGTTAAAATCACTGTATTTGTTTTATAGTCCATTTGCTACTTCCTTGACCAGCAGTCGCAGTATTTCTTGGATACGGCTGACCGTTTGGTACAGTTGGCACGAGAAGAACTTGTTTTTGCAAGGTTTTATGATTTTCGAAATATTTAACATTTTTATTGCATGCATTTATTTTTTCACGGTATTGTGAATTGTTTGGGCTTCAGTACAAAGTACAGTCTCTTTCAAAATGTGATTTGATTTTTACAATAGTCTTCATGATAGTTTGTTTGTAATCGTTCTGTGTTAATTTATAATTACTGTTTTTGAAATTCGACTCATATTTATTTTTGATTTATATTTTTTTCCTGTTTGTATACGTGATCGGGATGAAAGAACTTGAGAATTTCAGGTTTTAAACATTTATTAAGAATGACGCATTAAATTCAGTTTGCTTGATGCTGGTTTCAATAAAAGAAATTTAAAATTTAGATTGCCTGCTTTTCAAGTTGCAGCAGCTGTTGATGTTTTAACGGTTGGGACATTCTCGCGACTTCCTGCATGTATAAAGGTGTCTTTATCATCATAAATACTTTACGTACTGCAAAGCATCATGCATTTTTTTAAGTTTCTAATTACGAGCATATTTTCAGCATTTGAAATTATAAATGGGTCTGATCTGTGATCAGAATTAGTAAAATATTCCTGTGCTTGTGTTTATAGATAGAGCTTACGGACTTGAGACTGTTTACAGAATCGTTTCATATCGGATTCTTTAATTACTCCGAAAGAAGAAGCAAGTGTTTTGTCTCGACTAAATCATGTCATTCAGTGTCGCATTTCGAGCTTTGGAATAAAACTCTCACCTCGTATATCTAAGATAGTGATCAGGAATGGAATGGTATATAAATTGTTGGACTCACTTTTTCTTTGAAACTCATGTATTTGTATCTGTAATATACACAAAATTGCAATGATAATAATCTCTCCGACTCAAAATTTGTTGTTTATCATCAGTACAACTTGGGAACTTTTATTATGGTACACCATTTCTAGAAGAGCTAGTACAGTTTTGATGTATTAAAAAAACGAATTTTGACATTGTTCTGATTTGTTTCAAATTAGTATATCACTAATAAATTTTGCCTTTAATAGGTCACTATGACAGTTAATGGAGAATTCGAAGTTTCTTTAACTCTCCTCGGTGAGCGGCCGACTACAAAATGGACATTGCTGAACATCAAAATATTAGTGGAAGATTATGAAATAGGTTTTGGAACGAAGCTAGTTCACCCTCTACAAGTGAACATGCTTCATAATGTGTTACAATTGAGAATGGATGATAGTCAGGAAGTGAGCAAACTTTTTATGTCATGTTATTGTATTCCTTCAATTAACTAGTATCTAGCTTTTACCGAAACAGAATTACCTAGGCACAACTTAAATTAATACATATACAGCAATAGATTTACCGCATTTTATAAAGTTTGCAACATGTTGAGTTTTAGTTTCGTTACATTAATATTCTTAAAATCAATTGTTCTCCAACTATTTACATTTTTGCAAATTGTTTCAAATAGTACTTTTTCAGCCGCTTGATGAAGTTTATAGTTTCTTGCATTCATTTGCTCAAATGCTGCAACTCGATGTTTTATACTGTCAAGCCACACAAGTATTCAGTGGTAGTATGCAGCAGTACGGAATTATTGAACGATATGATCGTGATGCAGGAGTCCTAATTCTAAATTATTGGCTTAGAAAAACGCAGCATAACAGGTAAAGTTTTTGCATTTTTATCTACCACTGTTTCCAGTTTTACCTGACTTTTTTCCCCTTTAGTTCGGATTGTAAAACCATGTGCTTTTCGTCTATTACGAATAAAAATAGCACTGACCTACATTAATTTTCTTAAGTTTTATGCTTACGACTTTCAGATATGCTTCTCAGTATCGTATTAAATTATTTGTTGACAAACAAAATAAGAATAGAGGTTTACGCGTGCGACATTTTCCTGCGGGAAAAGGGCTTCCATATATAGATGAGCGCATTGGGCAAGTTACCGTATTCTGTTGATGAAAATGAATTACTTCTTTTTTTTATCAAACTTCATTGATGTTATTCTTTTTTTCTTATCAGACTAGTAATATTTTAATCATAATCTCAAGTTCTTATAAATTTTCTAAACTTCTAATATTTTTAGAAGACTTTCAATCAATCGTTTGTTATCAGAAACGGTTGGTATCCGCTGCCGTGAGCGACTGCTACGTATTCGTGAAAGGCTAGGTCTGCTTAAGCCACCAGCTGTGGTATCATTAACTGGAAGAGCTGCTCCAACGCTTACTTATCCATTGCTAGGAGCAGACTCACATCCTGACGAAATGCTTATTTTATCAGTTAACGACTTTTCCGGAAACGTTCTCGCAGTTGTCCGAGCATTAGGTCATCTTTTGTATCCAAACCATAAACAAGTTTACGATAAGTTCATGCAGAGTGTGTGAATAGGAAAATATTGAATTCCCGTTAATAATTTGTAATTTTCAGGGTTCTGTCCAGAACTTCGAGAACTAGAACAGCTCTTTGACGATCGCGTACCGTTGAAAGCTATTGGAGATAAGATGAACAGATTGAGGTATTTAAATTTTGTAAAACTGTGACTTTAATTTTATAAACTATGCTTCAAACTTTTTATGTGATCATACGATTTTTTTACAGAATTTTATTGATGTTAAAAAGGTATCGAAAAGCGATTGCACCTCTTCCAGTCCGTATCGTTCCAGAGAACGTGTTTTCTGCTCGATTAGCAAGCTTGCCTGAGTTGCCTCCTGATCGAATATGTCTTCAGTTTATTAAAGAAGAGATTTATTACCTCGTTAGCTTTTTGTTGCTTTAATTGAGCATCTAATGCTCGAAATTATCGTTCCACAAAAAAATGTGTCCGCATGGTCATGACTACGTAATTGATGATAATCTTTTATTACTGATCATTCTATTTACTAATGTTCATCGTGCAGGAACTACTAGCCTTTTCTAGTATTTGCAGTAATGTAAAAGATTTTCAGTTTGAATCGGTTTTAAGATTGTTTCCTTCACATCAAATATGGAAAGTGGTGTGGATATTGATATGTATTTGGTGTCGAATGTGGAACGAAAACTGAATACAGTGTGGTTACATCCCTCGCAGCTATTAACATCGCTTCCAGAATCAAGTTGTTTGAGTCCGAAATTTGAAAGTGCCTTAGATCCACCTGCTAAGGTACCACTAATATTACTTTTCACAAAATGATCTTTATTCACGCAAATTAGTTTTCATTTCCATGGAGACAAAAAACTGTTTCAGCGTCGCTGCTGGCTGGGTGACAAAAGGTTGCTGACATCAGCAGTGGCAACTTTAGACGATCGTCTTGCTTTTATGAGAATTTGTGAAGAACTTGACCGTCGTAATGTCAAATATAAGCCTCTGACTGTAGAAACAACAGTTGGTGGCTTAATTTTGCATATAACAGAGTAGGCTTATGTTTTCTTCAATACATCGTACCTTCATTGTTAGTAATTCTTGGTTTTGACTCTTCTAAATTGTCATATATTAGAGTTTCCTTTTTCAGTATCTCGGAAGCAGTACCTTCAGGATCGGATGATTTCTTTTCATCCGTAATCAATAGTTGTCTACGACTGGATACGAGAACTCGAGTTATTTGGCCATTTGAATGTACAATGATTAATACACCGTTGGTCGCTGACTTCTGTGAGCCTACCATTCATGATGGCCATGAGTTTATGAAGGTTATCATAAAGCACTTTGACGAAAGACAGGAAAAAGGATGAACGAAAGCAATTACTTTGTATTTTCAATGTGTAGTGTTCTTTGGTTATGTGCAATAAAATTAGACTTCTATTTCTTTCAGACAAAAACAACGGTCATGGAAATTCACGGTAGTGGCGGGATTTCGTCACCAAATACATCAGAAAGTGTTTCAACGCATATGGTTGACCGTTTAGTTGTTTTTTCACATATGTATGACCCTGTCAAGGAGTTTGCTGTTGCTTATTATAATTACTACAATAAATTCTGTCATGTAAGTCATAAAACCTGCTCGGAGTTAACTTTTACCAGTTAGATAAAACAAGTCTAACAATATTTAAAAGACTTTTTTTCCAGTATTTTTGTACATTTCTTACAGTTTTTTGTTTTTTTAACATGATCACCGTGAGTAATCTCCTTTTTCTAGCTTACTCAAACCTGGTAACATTTTACGTAGAAGATCAAAGGCTATTATTGGCATTTCACTAAAGTAGATCTCAAAATCGAAATTTATATTCATATAAATAATTGTTTTTGTGGTTTTCGGTCCTTTTCTGACTCCTCAAACTGCAGATTGTGGCATTTACTTATCACAAACTTGTTCTCGCATATGGCTTAAATCGAAACATGTTAATGATGTTGTCGTGGCGAACTCAGAAGGCTCCTAATAGTAAGCAGTATTTTTATCTTACTTTTGGAATCGGACCAAGTCAACGAATGGCGGCATCTGATCTAGCCAATTGCGAAACGTATGTTTCTCATATATCATGTAGCACGAAATTTTGAGTGGTTTTCGAAGTTTCTTGCAAAGTTTTTACGAATAATTATAGTTGCTGGTATTTAACTCGAATTACGTAGTGATTTTCTATACAAAAAAAATGTGTTCCGTTTTTTTTTTCTTGCGGATAACAAACTTGTCAAAAAAGACCATGTAAAGGGTAGAGAATCAAAAAGTGGGATTGGAAGATGTGGGTTAGATTCGCTTAGTTTCCTTGTAATTATAACCATTCAAATAAAATTTGTTCAAGTTTGTTAGGCACAAGTGTTAAGGATTATGCTGATGCTACAGAACGTATGAAATAAATTGGAAAATTGCATGCCAAGTAACACCTTTTTCTCTTTTTAGAGTTTTATTTTCGTAGCCAATTGACTTTATTACTTCCTTTTTATTATAAGATTTCTAGGTTGTGGAATCCACATGTTTTCTTGGCTTCTCGCCTTCAGGAACGATTCAACAAACGTCGATCTCTAATTGACCTCGTACAATACTTAATCGATACTATTGCACCCCTTTCTGCACTCCATTCATTTACTCGAATTCGTCTTCAATCACTAAGAGCGTTTTGTCAGATGATGTGCTATGATGCTGCTTTTGCTGTGGACTTGCAAGTAATGCACTTTAGAAGAGTGTAAAATAATTTTTGTGAAATATTTCATTCTTTAATTTTAATTTCAGTTTTGCAGAATATAAATAATTTTGACTCGAAATAAGAATGTTTTTCAAGACTAAGTTTTGTAGACTACAGTATCAATCGTCGATGAGTATAGAATTCGTGTAATTTATGGTCATATACATCTAGAATTCCTCTTATTGAGTAATTCAAGACTTGGTCTGCGTGACTGCTCAGTAGGTTCAAATTGCGCGCTGCGATTGCGCCAGTTTTGCAACAATTTTTTAAGGTACATGGATATATCTTGAGTTTTTGTGTTATTTGCATATTTTTAGTCACTTTTTAAATTTAAATTGTAAAACTTCTTTCTTTAAATTATTTACCCAATGTGTGAAAATGTTACTAAACTGTTGGATATATTTCACGATTCAGTTTTTCGCTTTCAGCGTATAAATACTTTTGCAGTTCAGAATTGCGAAGTTTAAATGAGGAAAAATCTCCTAGTGCGCCTAGTTGGATAGCAACTGGTTCTGGGCCTGGGTCATTGCCATCCCATCAAGTATATTAATTTGCAAAGCTGTTTATTCAGTAGCTTTTTCTCGGAACAGTTTTGAAATGTTTTTTTTTGTTATATTATCGAAAACTATGTTTAACAGATGTTATGAAAAAATATTTCGAATCTTTTCATCAGCTTTTTTTTTTTGCGATGAGAAACTTTATCTTATATTCGTCTTATTTAGACGATACTAATAACTTGCAGATGGGTCGCTCTCCAGCTTCAAGGTTAGTGTCTTCGCCAATGTCGCATATGTCTTTATCCGTTCCACCTGTTGATAGTGTAGGGTCTCTACGCCACTCATCTGATCATCGTTCGAAAGCGCCCATACTGTTGGATCATGATGCGCTGTTCTGCATGATGTCTGTTGATGGATCTGGTTTGTACTCACAGTTCTGGCTATCTTAAAATGGATGTTTGAATTATGAATTACCTGTACACTAATTTCAATAAAAGACTCTTGTCGTAGTAACATCATTCATAAATAATAAGAATGTTTTGCTTTCATTGTAGGAACCTGTCCGCTTGATCAGTACTTGTTTGCATTAACGTATTTATCGAAATTGGGGCCAGCCTTAGAAGGGTATCGTCGAGAACATCGTGGATCTGGAGCACATCCAGTGATTCAATTTCGGCAACTAATTATAACAGCAGAAAGTATTCGTTTGTCAGTATTAGGCGCTGCACCTCCGAATCTAAAACACGAGCCATTTTTAGTCAACATGAATATTTATTTGGATGACGAAACGATGAGTTTAAAAATGAAACTGGATTTTGGTGAGTATTTTGCATTCAACTTTATTTTGAGCAGAAAAAGTTTTGTATCATATATCACTTCAGTATGCCAAGGTTTATGACTAAACATTCTTTTGTTAGTTCTTATTGCATATACTTTCCATAACGTCGTTCTTTGCATTTTTTGAAATATTTAGCATAGATAAGAGATAGGTATTTTTTGACAGCTAGCGCAGCATCGACGCTATAAGCATCACTTAGGTTGATTTTTAGACGGTGAAGATGTGCCTTCTGAGAGTGATATTCGTATCGCAGAACTTTACTTCGTGAAAGTTGTTGCTCACTTAGGAAATGAGATCGCGGTAGTTGCTTTTGCAAATGCTTGCAGACTTGCTGCACCAGGCGCATTCTCTGCTATCGCGCGCATAATGAGTGTGCAAATGGTAAGTCATCATGCTTACTTTACGAACATAGTTGATTAAGCAGATGAAGTTCTACCCATCCTACCAAACAAATGTGGTTTTGTTCAGACTATTATAAATAAAAACCACTTTTTTTGACACTACCAATATTTCCTCTTTGCTACATCTCTTCCAAAAAAAAATCATTTATAAAATAAAACATGTCAATCCGTAGAGTGCCTAGGAAAAAAGAAAATTGGTCTCGCAATTTTGTGTATCAAAGAACGTAGTTATTTTGCTTCAAACAGTGAATAAACTTGAATTTGATGTAGAATTGGACAGAAGACACTCCATGGCGCCCATCAATACAACTCGTAATGTGGAGTCAAGAAGGATCAGTTCCAAGAGCTCGTATCTCACCAGGAATAGTTATTGATCAGACCAATATCAGCGTATTAATCTTGGTAAATTTTTTTGTCTCGTCGTACACACTTTAGCTTCCTAGTAAATATTAAGGATATTCACTAAAAAAGGTATCTTAAAATTTTGTATCATATTATAACACTTTTTTCTGCAATAATGATTACTAACTATTCCCTATTTCATGAGTAATGTCATTCAGATAAAGATCTGTCTGTTAATTTTATCATTTTTCTCATTTTATTGATCACACACTTATTTTCATTTCCATTTCTTGTTTTCATGACTGCAAGGATTCAAGTTGTGACTGGTGGGTAATTGAAGTTTTTTTTAATTTTCAGCTTTGTTTGCGACCGACGCGTCATAACCCATCAGAAAAAAATGCTGACGCATCAAAACATTTGATACCTCTTATCTACAACACGCAAACGTAAGATACAACTTTTTTTCCTGTTCATGATAAGATGAAACTGGAAAAGTTTGAACCAAAAATTTTCACTTATAATCACACTCCCTCTCCATATCACTTCGATATAGCTCTTTTGTGATCTACTTAATTTACGTGCATAAAGAATAAAAATGCATTTTATGATTTCATGTTTCTCGAAGTTTCTTCAACAAATGTAACTAGTTCAATATTCTGTAATAATTTTCGTAATTGTTTCAGAAATACAGTTGCTCGACGAAGCAGCGGTGCAGATGATGATGCTAGTAATGCGACAACTGTTTTATCTAATGTTTCCGAGCAATATTCTCTTACAAATGAACCAGCCCTGTGGCCAGCGATCTACTCTCTTGCCCATAACTTTGCATTGCAACGATAGTTTTTTCTAGTATTTCCCTAGATCCAGTTATTGACTAGTGAGCTCTCTAATTCAAAAGTTATTTTTTCGTCCTGTAATGCGAAAATGCCGATCGTATGAGAGATCACAAAATTTTTCTCCAGTTTTTCTGTCTAATTTTCCGTAACAGAAATAAATATTTCAAGTGGACTAGATTCCTTTCATTATTGAGTCTACAAAAAGTTATACACTTGGAAACCATAGACTCTGTTTTTTTTTGTTTGCATATAGGACTCGCTTGGTTTTATCAAATTTATGTGCTTAGGTATGTCAGAAAATGAATTGCCTGAATTTTGAGGTTTCTGCTACAAATGTAAGTCTTGAAATACGCGATGATTCTTCAGAAAAAGGCAAGTAAATTCTGCAAGAAGTTTAATCGTCCATTGAAGAATGTTAACAGTTTAAAAGTTATTGAATGAATGATTAATATTCCAAGATTCTCACACGTTTCAGCATACTGTTCTCTCCGAGTAAGGTGCAACCTAATAAGGTACTTCGATTGATTTTATTACATTTCAGGCATTTTCTCTTTACAAAACTGTTTTAGTTTGTTATGTGCATATGCCTCAATTAATTTTTCCATGTTTCTTTTTCGTGTCATCTCATTTGATTACCTCTAGGCGATTATGCAGGAGAAACAACTTGTTATATTTGTTAAAACGAGGTTATATTCCTTCAGCGGCTTTTATTTTTCAGTCACTTATCGGGTACGATAATGCTGGTTAGAAATATGATTTGCAGGAATAAAATTGTTCATAATAATTTGTTGTGCATAGTGCAGTCGATGTAATCCAAGTCATTTATATGTTTTCTGATGCAAGTATAGATTTCAGGAATGTTATATATTTGATTGTACCGTTCTGTTCATATTTTGGTACCGTTACAGTTATCTATAAGATTTTCAGTTCTTAATAGGCATGCCCTATTTTTGCTGCTGAACATTTATCGCCACTTTATAATCAATGAATTGTGTTTCAGTTTCCATAACTTATTAACCATTTAATATTGTCATGCAAGCCGCTACTTCTGGTTTTCGCTCTCAAATGCAGCAAGAGCACGACCCAAATGCTGCTTTTCCGTGGTGGGTGCGCTTTTTAGCTAAAGGACTTGGAGTACTTGGAGGCTTTGTAGCTATCTTCTTTGCTGTACTTGGCTTGCTTTCGTTCTCAGCAACTTGCATCATTGCAGTTCTCCTGCAGTTGTAAGATGTCTTTTTTCAATTTTTTTCATATTCCAAACAAATGTTGTTAACTGGCAGTATCAAATAAATAATTAAATGACCTTATACGAATTTCGGATTGGATAGCATATAAATGAAATTACAATTTTTATGATTCAAGGTGTTCTTTGCGATTTCGTGCATATCGAGTTATTGTCACACTAGTCTTGAGCGTTCTCCATTTGAGCCAATTGTAAATAGGCTGATCTAAAGTATAGATATGATTATTTATTCTACTTTCCTACCGAGCAGTAGTTTATTTAATGACTATTTTTTTAAGCCATAAGGGAATTATCATACTGATATGGTCTGCAAGCAAGACTGAATTCTTTTTAGAGTATTTGGTTTATTGACGGTAGCGTTGGAAGCTCCGTTTTGTTGCATGTTTATTGACTTTATTGAAAAAGTGGCTATGTTTTCTGAATCACGGAAGTATTGGCAAAAGGCAGCTCTTTACTGCATGTAATGTTCTTGTTCTAATGACGCAATTGAAATTCAATCCATTTTAGAGTATGAAACAATATGTACATATTATTCTGCAAAATTATTTTTATTGTTTCAAAACAAATTAATTTTTGTCTGTACTTTATTCTGCTTTCATGACTAATGCAATTACTGGATTTCAGTATGGGTGTGTTGCCAATTATGTTGTGCACCGAACTTAACACAGTGCTCGGTGGTGGAATGATCTTTGCTTCGGGAACAGTTTATGGTCTAATGGCATTGGGTAAAAAAGCAGATTTGTCATCAATGAGTGCTCATATGGATCCTGCGTGGAATGCTAGCGTCAATCAGCAGCAAACACCAGCATCTTTCGGCAATCCGTCGATAGCTTAGAGTTGGTTCACCAATCAAAACTGATCTCAAACATTATCTTGGCACATCTTGTATTTCACTTTTTTTTTCAACATCCTTTACAATTTTCATTATTTGTGCACCTCGCCATTTCAAATTGACTAGGCCATGGTAACTATTATTATTTTATTTTTTTATTTTCCAATAGAAACACCTTTTTTTTTATTTTACCACTGCGGCTTTTGAGCAGTTTATTATATAGCCATCTATTTTATGAAATATTCCACTATTTTTGGCCTCTGTAGCTCATGAAGCATGCTCTACTGATGTAATCAACTGGATATTTCTTAACTGAAAGGGTAACTTCTTTGATTTTTATCGTGTTTCTTTCTTAGGTTCTCCAACACATCCTGCACTGTACTCAACTTATCATCTACTTTTTCATTTAATGAATCTTACTATTGAATTACTATCAGCTCTATATCACAATCTGTACTTTTAGCAGTTTTGCGACAGAAGTAGTAATTCACTGCACACATTACTGTTTAAATATAAAGAAATGCCAAGAGACTGGTGCAAAGCCTGTGTCCTGAGTCAAGACTCACCTCTAATTTCTATTATTGATATAGTCCTGGATTACGACAACAAGCGGTTTTTTGTTAGTAGGGATTGTAAAATTCATGTCTTGAGTCTGCGAACTTAAATCTATGAAAGTGAAGTAATGCGAGCATCACTTGCTTGATGCCTTACTCATGTCTAGTTAT